CACTCTTTTATAAAGAAGAAATTATCCTGGCACCACCCTGAACTGTTCATGAAGTTGGAGCAGATAGTGGGTGGAGGGGGAGGAGGAGGGGATTGGGAAGTGGGAGAGAACTGTGCCCAGCACACGTCTCTCAGAACATTCCTCATCCTGGCTCTCTGGTCTTCCTTCCTATTCTCTTGGTTTCCCCATTTAACATGGAAAATAGAGCTCTGGAATCCCAGGAGTGGGTCAAGTGGTTCTAGAACACCCCATTCTAAGGAGAGACATAACCCTACGTCTACGGAGCAAGTCCATAGTTTGATTACAGCCCCGAGAGGGCTGCCATTCCATCCCAACCTATTCCCTTATATTTCAAGTTAAGTGTTAGGCAGCAAGGCTTGGGATGGAGAGAAATCGTTTCTTATTTTCCTTTCTTGCCCACAGTTTAGGGGCTGTAAAATTAATAACAAAGCACATCATTTTGTGATCCCTTATTATGTGCCAGGCGCTGTGCTAAGGGCTCAAACATTTAATGCACACACATGCCTACATGGTGAGTATTCAGTAGGCACGATTAGCACCATCTAGCAGATGAACGTAAGCAGAGGCACAGAGACGAGCCGGCTTGCCTTCAGTCTGACCGCCACAGGGAGCAGTTAGCTAGGCCGGGCTGACTCCAGAGCCACAGTCCCAGCCACCCTGATAGCCTTCATGCAGGAGAGGAGCTATAAGCACATGCAATATTTTTTCTTCCTCTGCAAGCTTCATGACAAGATACCTTCGCCCTGAAATGAAAGCTGGGTCAGAACATACAGACTGACCTCAAGGAATGAATGCGGGGTCAGAGTCACACGGACAGTTATGCAATCCTCTTACATGTGGGCTGAGCCACCATCTGTGACCTATGAGCCAGGCAGCTCAGGCCCAGCCGGGAAAACAGCACCCAGCTCCCCTGCCCCACTCCCTCCTCAGGGAAGCAGGGGTGGAGGTGGGAGAGATCTCTGGACTCAAGAGTAGCTCTTTCTCCCCTCCCCAGAAGGAGCAAAAAGATGCTTGTTTAACTCCTACCAATAGTGTCTTCTCCTTTTCGGGTGCCTGGCACACAGCCTCAGAATACATAATATTTACTGAGTACTTACTGTGGATCAACTCCATTAGCTCATTCAAATCCTCACACTTGATTTTTACCTATTTTGTGGCACTTCAGAGTGGCAAGCAGGCTGTCCAATGTCTCACAGAGAAAGGAGAGCCAGGGTTTAAATGCAGAGCTACAGCCTGGCTGGGCGTGGCTCAGCAGTTGAGTGTCGACCTAGGATCCAGGCGATCGGGGTTTGATTCCTGGCCAGGGCACATGCCCGGGTTGTGGGCTTGATCAATGACTCTCTCATCATTGATGTTTCTCTCTCTCTCCTTCTCCTTTCCTCTCTCTGAAATCAATAAAGATATATTTAAAATAAATAAATAAATAAATAAATAAATAAATAAATAAATAAATAAATGCAGAGCTACAAGGTAAAATCCAGTCTACTGCTCCCCTCAACATGTATTATTATTTAATTTTGTCCAAGATGCTGGACATCAAGGCTCTTAGCCCCTGAGGCTCCTTTCCCTTGCACCCACCTCCATAAAAGTTCCCAGTCCTCCCTGTCCCTCTTCCTTCCCTGCCGGTGCCCTGCCCGCTACTCTGGCTCCCAAGTCCGGTGGGGCAGAGTCTGGGCCAGCCCTTTGTACGAGCCAGTTGTCCAAAAGGCCCATGGGATCTCTTGTAATTGCACCCCACCCCAGAGTTGCTTCATTTGGTAAAAACGAGCTCTGTTTATTTTGAGAGTTTGTGTTGGGGGGACTTTTTATACTCTGACTTTCCATCACCATCACCCCAAACCCTAACCCTTGGGGAATTCATGATGTAGAGTTTGTGTAAAAAAGTAATTTAGAACCGTGGCTGGTGTGGCTCAGTTGGTTGAGCGTCATCTTGTGCACGGAAAGGTCGCTGGTTTTATTCCTGGTCAGGGCACATACCTGGGTTGTGGGTTCGATTCCTGATTGGGATGCGTATGGGAGGCAGGAGGCAGCCAATCAATGTTTCTCTCTCACATCGGTGTTTCTCTCTTTCTCTCTCTCCCTTCCTCTCTCTCTAAAGTCAATAAGAACATATTTTTAAAAACTAATTTATATACAGGGTCTTCTGGCCCAAGGGCAAGGAGTCCAGGCTCTGTATCTGGCTCTGCATGCCAGGCCCTTTACTCCCCAGTCTCATTTTCCTTTTCTGCATCCATTGAGAATGAAGTGACCGTCCAGGGACAAGATGAGGAGGAATGCAATGATGTCCAAAGAAATCCTTGCATTCCTGAGGCAAAAAAACACATCACATTCTCCATGAAGTTAAACAAAAGAATGCATATAAAGCTTTTAGCTAGTGCCTAATACCTGGTATGTGCTCAATTGCTGAATGAGCCGTTGGGCAGGTGGGGTGTGCTAGTCACTGGCACCTGCATAGTCTCCTGGGCCTGGCTGCTTGCAGGGTGTGGCTGTCAGGAGAATGCTTTTGAGTTTGCCTGCCAGGTGCAGTTTCGCATGCCACAGCTCTCAGGAAAGTGACCTAACTTGGATTTTTCTGTATGGACATAGGATTGCAAGAAATTCTCATTTGCATGGAGATGGGGAGTTTATTTTCCCTAGAATCTGCATGTCTAGACCCAGAGGAAGAAGCATTTCTTCATAATGATTAATCAACTGTGCTTCAAAGTGGAAAGAAAAGAAAACAATTAAGGAAGTGAGATGCTAAGGAAACAAGGGGAAAAAAATCTCCCAAAGGTGGACCCACCCAGTATACCTTGACAGCATTTCCTCTTATCCACCTGCATAAAAGTGACCGGCCCTTTCCAAGTGTCAAAGAGCTCCGAGAGAGAAGACACAGGAGCAGCCCGAGCACCCAGGGAGAGGTGAGCCTCCTGCCAGCCTCCATCAGAGGCTTTCATTCACCCTCACCCTCACCCTCACCCTCACAGCTGCAGGGAGGGGGCCGTCCACACTGTGTGTGGCCTGGGATGTCCCAGGCGCTGGGTATTTTGTAGAATTGGGAGCGGTACTCAATCCAGAGGTGAACTTTCTGGTACCTTATTCTTGATAAGAAAAGATGGAGAGTGGAAAAGAAGGAAGGTAGGAAGGGAAGGGGGGAAATCTAACATTTACTATAACCTTTTTGTTCTAGGCCCTGTGCTGGGCACTTTACAATATATCTTCTTTTAAATCCTTTGCAGTGTTAAATATCTTTTTAAACATAAGGAGCACCTCTAACTCAGTCTACCCAGTCAGAAGTGCATTTCTTCCTGCCTGGTATGAGGGCACCTGTGGGGACAGCCAGCTGAGACCCCCGAGGGAGCAGAGCTGTCAGTGGGATGATGTGGGAATGCGGGCAGAGGGCTCCAGGGCCGGCCTGCCTGCCTTCTAATCCTGGCTCTGCTACTTGGTGGCCACGTATCTTGGGCGAGTTCCAGTTGCCTCTTTGGTAAAATGGAGATAGGGTGGTTGTGAGCATTAAATAATTGTGTAAAATGCTTGGCACAGTGCCTGACGCATGTGGTATTCATGATAAACGTTACCTACCACTGTTATCTGAATCTGCCAAGGTACCTGGAATTGCCAAGCTGAGGAAGGCATCTTTCCCCTCTGCGAGATGCCTGGGCCTCCTGGCAGCATGCGCGGGGCAGGGAAAGCCCCACTGCTTCTGACAGTTATCTTGTCAGAAGAAAACCTGTGCTTCCTTCCTAGTCACTTGGCTTTCTAGAAGCACCCCAGTTGCTGTTAGAGGGGAGAGAGCTCTGAGGGAATCTACAAACTTCCAGGCCAGTGGGGTCTGCACTCTTGTTCTGTCAGAAAGAGAGAGGCCAGAAAAAGAGCAACCGAGCTCGGTATAATGAATGGTGGCCACTGGGGGAGGTCTCAGTACACACCTCGTACCAGTTGTCCCACTGGGAATGACTCGGAGTCAAGGAGAGATGAGGCGCGATGCTTTCTAGCCGGGATTTGCTGTTTCCTGGCTTTCTGGAGCGGAGCCCGGGAATCCCGAGGAAGATCTGGGGAGCCCTGGTCCGTTACGGGGACAGCTGTGACTCATGCTTAGGAACCAGCGTATGTGCTTTAGAGTTAGAGCCACTCTAACTAAAAGAGGGGGGACGCTAGCTTCCTATTTGGGTGCCTCCCTCCCCTCCCCTGACACACACACTACATGCCCAGCACACACACAGCTGGAAGTCGTTAAATGAAAGAGGCAGAGGAAGACGGTGGCACCGAGGGTGAGACAATTAGACGAGGCAGCAAGGGTCTCAGGGGCTGGCCCTGTCTAGGGAGTGGCTAGCTCAAAAGTGTCCCTCACAGCCCTGGCTCAGTAGGGGACAGAGGGGAGGTGGCCAGCTGGCCCTCTGCAGGGGCAGCCTCCCCTCTCTTCACTGTGGCTAGTTATTAGGACATGGCTTGTTCTTCCTTTTCCATCTCCGGGAGGTCTCATCTTCATAGTTGGCTTAAATGGTTTTGAGCAGACACGCGGTGGGGGTTTATAATAAAAGGGTGTCAAATATCTCGCGGTCAAAGATAAAAAAACCAAATGTGCTTTTATGGTTTTTCAGATCTGTTGCCTAATTCCTCGGGCAAATTACAACCCTGTTTTTCCTATCTAGTTGATCAAAAACAATGCTTTTCATTGCCCTTGACAAAGTGGCTGTGTTGAGTCATCACAGTGATATAGACAGCGACACACTCCTGGGACTTGAGAGGGCGCGGGATTGTGCTTCCCGGGGTGGAGATGGGAGCATGGGGGGAGGAGGGAGGGCTCACTCCATTGATTCAAGAAAATCAAAGGAGGAAACACATGCCCCTGACCTCCAGGGGCTGAGGCACTGAGTCTGTTCTCTTGGCTGCTGCCTGGCCTGCCCCGTGAGGTCCGAAGGGGAGCCGGGTCAGGGGTCTCCTTCACTGCGCTCCACTCTTGGCCGGGCATCTGACTCCCGCCCTTCCTGCAGGACATGCAGGCGCAGCGTGTTGCCCTCTGGCTCCTGGGCACAACGTTCTTCCTGTGCTCGGTGCACGCCCGCAGCCTCAGGAGATGCCTGATTTCCATGGACATGCACCACATAGAAGAGAGTTTCCAAGAAATCAAAAGAGCCATCGTGAGTATGGGTTCTGGGTGAAGGTGTGGGCAGGGGTTTGCCCCACTTGCATCCTGGCATGAAGGACACGTACCAAATCATTATTTTTCGTGTCTCAGGGAGACGTGGAATACTCATCGCTTGCGTTTGTTCTTATGTTTTCCTTCACAGCAAGCCAAGGACACCTTCCAGAATGTCACCATCCTGTCCCCATCGGAGACCCTGCACAGCATCAAGGTACTGGCCTGTGTCTGCTCTTTCCTGGATTGTTATTTTTACCGTGAAGTAGCCCTGGGCCGCGAAAGAAACCCTCACCCTGCTCCCTGCTCTGTCCTGGCCTCCGGGGTGCTCTAAATGCTCCCCGCTTCTCATTAATCCCCTGATGTGTGAGGCACACTCTATCTCGGGGACTTTGGAGCCCCTGGGCGCCACTATGCTGTTGTATCTATGAGGTTTGTTTGCTTGTTTGTTGGTTTGTTGCCTTTTGTTTTCTATCCCCATGGATATAGACAACAGAGCAGTGGTTACCAGAGGGGAACAGGGCTGGGGGTGTGACAAAGAGAGTAAAGAGGTCAAATATATGGTGATGGAATTAGATAGGTTTAGGGTGGTGAGCACACAATAGGGTATATGGGTGTCGTATTATACAGCTGTACACCTGAAATTTATATAATGCCCTTAAGCACTGATAACCTAATAAAGTTAATTTTAAAAAGGAAGCCCCTGGGAGGAATTGGAGAAGCACCACTTACCTAGAGAGTGATCGAGGTGCCACATGCTCAAAGGGGACAGGATGTCTATGGCTTAGGGTGATTCTGGAAGGTTTCATGGGGAACTGGAGTAAATGAGCAGAGACCTAGAGGCTGACTAGGCTGTGGGTTCGTGGCTAAAAGAAAGGAAGAGGCTTGGGCAGCTTGGGAGAGTGGGTGTACGGGTCAACGAAGGTGTGTCAGGAGGCAATAAGGCAGCCAGGGCTGTAGCTCAAGGGACGTGACGGTGACAGAAAGAGGAGGGGGGGAAAAATACATTGGAGTCATTTTACCAAGAACCTTGCATGCCAGGCTGAGTTTATAATAGAGGTAACAGAGAGTCCCTGTAGTTTTCTGCATCACCACAACACTTTTAGAAAGGCAGTCCAATGGCGCCCTTTCCAGTGGGCAACTCGAGGCAGGAAAGCCAGTGAGATCTGTCCAGTTGTCCAGGTGACAGTGTGTTGCAGAGGGGTCACTGAGGAGCGCCGTTAAAAGCAAGCTCCTTCAGTCCTTGTAAGAGTTCTAGAAAGATCTTTTTTCTTTCAGTATTTATGTGACAGAGTACATGTTGTATCTGCAATGATTTATTTTTTTCCTTGGGCTTCTCTGCATGAAATAATTCTAGTCAGTATGGGGTCTGATTTGTTTGTGGTAAACAGATGTGTAGCCTTTTATTAAATACTATTCCAGCCAACTGTATAAGAAACTCATAGGATATCACAGCTGAAAGTGACCCCAAAGATTATCTATTCCAAATTCTAATTTTTAAATGGCCAGATTGATACCCTGGGAGAGAGATTGACTCATTAGTGGTGGGCCAAGAATAGAGCCCCATGCCTCATGCCCCTGCCTCCACATTGCCCCCCCGTCAAGGTCTAGATATAGCTGATGGGGATGAGGGAGTCAGTGGGATGCAGGTCTCTGTCCCATTTCTGCCTCCCTCCTTCTTTCCCTGATAAAACAAAGTTGGGCTCTTTAGCTCCTTTGCTTAAGGGGGCTTTCTCTAATTCACGTGTGTAGCTCTTAGATTCCCTGGGCTTTCTCTAATTCACGTGTGTAGTTCTTAGATGCCCTGGGCTTTCTAATTCACATCTGTAGCCCTTAGATGCCCTGAGCATCCTCTAATTTGTATCTGTAGCCCTCAGATGTATGCTGCATGACCAAGAACCTCCTGGCATTTTACGTGAACAGGGTGTTCAAGGACCATCAGGAGCTGAACCCCCAGATCATGAGAAAAATCAGCAGCATTGCCAACTCTTTCCTCTACACGCAGAAGGTTCTGCAGCAATGTGTGAGTCCCCACATCAGAACTCCAAGCTTCTGCTTCCTGTCTGCCCGGGCAGAGCCCGGGACATGCTGGCCCCAGTCCCCTTCTTAAATGGTTCGTGGAGTCAAAGGAAATTCTCTCCCCGGTCGTCCATGAGAACTATCAAGAATCTCTTCCAGTGGTCACTCCTTGCCCAGGGCTTCCTCCCTGCAGACACCTTACCAGACCCAGGTTTCCTAAGGATAATCCCTTCTGGGGTGACCTTCTGTCGGAGCATCCCTCAGGTGACCCCAGGACTGGCCTATGAGAGGGGCATGCCAGGCTTGCCATAGGCTCACCCCTAGTGTCTTTGTTTCTGGCCCTTTGAGGATTCCATACCAATTAACCTTTGGGTGGTTCCCTGGTATAACCTACCTCTAAGGATCACCTGTAAATTCATTATTATCTATTAAAATCAAACATCAGAAATAAAACCAAATTCAAACAAACCAACAAAGCCTTAGGACAGCAGAAATCATGGGCTCTAGCCGCATCCCTGCCAATGACTTCCTGTGTCACTTTGTGGCAAGTTACTTCACCTCTCTGTGCCAGATTCTAAAATTGATAGAAGTCATGACCTCTGTCCCACTTACATCAAGATTCATTGAACCAGTTATTTAATTAACCAAACCAACAAATATTTATTGAGTGGAGCGCTGCATTCAGAGTGGGGACAAGACAGATTTGACACCTACCTTCCCGGCTCTTCCAGTCTGGTGTCTGTCAATCCAGAAAAAGCAAAAGCTCTGGTCAAACACAGGTGATTCTACAAACAGACCCTACTGCCCGCTGCTGATCCAAACTGAGTTTGCTTACCTGACTCTTACCTTGGGAGGAAGCGGAAATGTCACTCCACGAGGGGAGGTGGTGGAAAGGCTGGGCCAGGATGGGAAGGTCCTCTGATGGGTGCTGTCTCCACTTTATCCCAGCAGGAGCAGAGGCTGTGTCACTGCAGCCAGGAAGCCACCAATGCCACTCAAATCATCCACGACAACTACAATCAGGTAAGGGCAGGGAGGAAGACAGGGAAGATGGAGGTGACAGGTAGGAGCCCGCTGCCTCCACTCCACTCAGACTCATTCGTTTGCTCAACAGGTGTTTAGTACAGGGCTCTCCAGTTGGGTATGTCTGCAAAGAGCATGGTGGTCTTACTTCATTTGCTCATTTCCTGGGATCCCCAACCCCATATCCCCCCACCATTTTCTTATGCCCTTACATATCAGGCCTAACCTGTGTTGTTTTGAGGGAAAGCACATGCTGCTTAAGGTGGGGGTGATGCAGAGGCACCAAGATCCTCGGTGAATTGGAAGCTGTTAGGCATGAATCATGTTACCTGCCAGGTGTCACTGTGCCCAGTAACTGTCACGAGCATCCTGTGTGCATGCTTCTCCTGCAGCTGTAAACGAGTGTCTCATGCCCAGGTGGAGGTTGAAGCGATGCTTCTTACGTGTATCATTTGGAGATTTTGTTCGAATGCAGATTCTGGCTCCATAGGTCTGGAATGAGGCCTGAGATTCTGCATTTCAACCACACTCTCTAAAGATGCCAGTTATTTGAATAGCAAGGAGGTGGGGAGAGCTGTTCGGAGCTCTGCTTCTTTGGGGAGAGGTTCCATGAGATAATGTTATGACGCTGGCTAAGAGTCGTGCTGTTCTTCCTATGAGCCAGGTGTTGTTCTAAGCATGCTACAGGTTTAAACACCTTTAGTCCTTACAACACTGCTGTGAGCCATGCTCTGCATTTGACAGATTAGGAAACTGAGGCAAAAACAGATTAAGTAACTTAACTAAGTTTATATTGCAACTAAATGGTGAAGGTAGGACTCAATCCCATGAGGTCTGGCTCCACAGAACATTCTTTTAGTCTGCTGAAGAGGAGGTGGANGTTAAGTAACTTAACTAAGTTTATATTGCAACTAAGTGGTCCCACGAGGTCTGGCTCCACAGAACATTCTTTTAGTCTGCTGAAGAGGAGGTGGAGTAGGTCAGGAGACCTGGGTTTTAGTTTTAGCTCTGATACCTGCTGGTTGTGTGACATTGGGTAGGATATTGATCCTTAGGGACTCTGGTGCTTTAATATATCCAATGGGGACAACAAGCCCTCCCGACATGCACAGCACCCAGGGATTGAGACCTTCTAAAGCTGATGTGAGAAGGGAAATAAGCAAAAGGACTGTCCAGAAAGGCAAGTTTTGTGTTTGTTTTTTCTGTGAAAAACAAGAAAAAGAAAGACAGAGGGCAAAAAAATGAAGAATTTTTAATTTTGTTTATAAGTTTCTGCCATGGTTTAACTGCCTGTTGGTGGGAAACAATTGGGGTTCCCTGTTGGGAGAATGATTTGGGGTCTGTGTGCTCTGCAAATGTAATTGATGAATGAAAAGAAAACCTCATGGGGACCAGAACATGGGGAAAGTGGCTTGAACCGATTACAGGGTCTGGAGAGGCAGGTCCTCATGATCTCTCTGGTTTCAGCTGGAGGTCAGGCCTGCTGCCGTCAAGTCTCTGGGAGAGCTGGACATCTTTCTGGCCTGGATTGATAAGAATCATGAAGGAACTGCCGCTGCCTAACCACAAAGAACCCGATTGCCCAGGTGGGCAGCCTGGGAGGTTACCCGGAGACAGCCTGCTCTGAAGGGGAGGGAGCCGGGAAGGCCCCATTTTTCTGCAAGTGACATCATTTTGAAGAAACCTCTCTGCAGATTTGGAATCCTCTCTTCTGGGGCTGAGGGATTGTAGGGCAAAATCTATGTTTCGTCGGACCTCACCCTGCCGCCGAAAATCCCAGGCTGGCTGTCCCCACCTGAAAATAACCTAATAGTCTACTATCATATTTATAATGAAATATGTCCTTTGAACCGTCTTGTGGGCCATCCTGGAGGAGAAAGGTTGGCTTCCCCCTAATTTATTGTGAGCTTGTTTATCCCATGTCTGTGATGTGAGCTGAGTGATACCCTGTAGTACATATTGCACTGACTGATTTTTCTGAATAAACTGTTTTTTTACTTATTAGAGAGTGTCTTCTGATTTGTGGGGGGTCAGTTAAGGAATCATAAATGGTGACTATTAGAAATGAATGGGGCCTTAACAAACATACCTAGATGGGAAAACCGAGGTCTAGAGAGGAATAAGAATTTACTCAGAGTCCCAAAGGGAGTTCGTGCAGAGAAAGTTTCCAAACTGGGTCTTTGAAGTCTCCATCCAACACATAACGATAGAGAAGGTGGGCAGAGAGCTTCTGATCTCTCTCTCTGTGTCTTTGCCTTTCCTCTCTGTCTCGCTTTCTGTCTTTGGCCCTCTCTGTCCTTTCTTTCTTACTGCTCCCAACCTAGATACATCTTCTCTGACCCTAAGTCTCCACGGGGATATACGTTGGGCCAGAGAAGAGTGTTTCTGACGGAGGGATGGTCATCATGGTGACAAAGCTGAACAAGCACAGCCCGAGGCATGGGGTGTCCTGGGTAGAGGGTGTTCCAGCCCAGGCCACAGTGGAGACAGGCCAAAATGGGCACCACCTTCTAGATGGACCCTCCTCAGATGGTTAACGACAATAACAGCTGAAGATACTGGGCACCTGCCGTGGGTCGGGTGCTGAAGAAGCACTTCGTACTCGCTGTCCTGGGTCGGTCTCTCTGCTGTCACCAGCTGGCCGGAGCATCCTTTCTTGTTTCTACCTGAGAAGGAGATATCACGGAGTGTGCTTTAGCGGACACAGCAGGACCCCTGAAGTCAGGCCACTTGGTTCCAATCCCATTGACTTTGGACAAACTACTTACGTCTCTAAGTTTCCATGTCCTCCTCTGTGAAATGGAGATATAGCACCAGTCTCAAAGTATTGCTGTGAGCACCAAGTGAGGCGAAGCCCCCCTCAGCCTCCACCCCCCACTGTAACCCCCTCGGGGAAGGCTGCATGGCGTAGTTTGAAGAGTGTCAAACCAGGAGCCAGGTCTGGTTCCAAGGCTTCTCCTGCCATGAATTGATGGGGGCAGGCCACTAAATTTCTTTGGTCCTTTGTGGTCTGTACTGACCCCTGTACTGTCTACTGTGCATCATAATTTAAAAGTCAGGGTCATTCCGATGGCCTAGGGGGCCCTCCTATCTGCACAGACTGCCTGCCTAGTTTCTCTCTCTCTCTCTCTCTCCTCTCTGCCTGCTTACTTCACTGACCACTTCACTTGTCTACCTGTCCTTTCTCTCCTTCCAGACTCAAAGAATGTGTCCTGATTCTTATAGTCCACAGAGTTGTGCTTTTGTTTTTGGTGGTGGTGTTTCTTGTTTTCCTTTTCACGGAGCCAGTGCTTAATAAATACCTGATAAGGAAACAAGTATAAAATTCTCTCACAAACCACATCTTCTCCACCCTCCATCGGCCCCCAGCAGCACCCTGGAGAAATCTAGGGCTCACCTTCAGCTGCCAAGGTGCAGTGGGAGGGAACCCATAGCTCTCGCAAGACTGTGCCAGGCGCTTTCAGGCTCAGAGGAGCTGAGGAGGTCAGGGGTCTGATCCCCATGTGATCAGCGAAGGCGTCTGAGGCTCAGGGAGGTGAGGGACTTGGTCACCTGGCTAAGGGATGGCAGATCCAGAAAGGGAGCCCAGATCTGGTCTTCCTGACTCCAGTCTCTCTCTTCTTGCTGCTGGGGAAGTTCACTTTGTTCTGGCCAAGGCTGTATAACTCAGGGCCCAGGTGAGGACACTGGATGCCAGCAACGCAGACCGTTAAAGCCACATGAATGAAAAAAGGGGCCTGGACTTAGTAGCCACAGGCCTATGAAGTTACATGTGAATTTTATGGACTAACTCAGAGCAAAAAAGCAGAGATCGACTTGTGAGCGTGGTAATAATGTTCCTGCCCCAGCTGAGCGTGTGAGCTCCTCCTGGAGGACGCTCTACCCTCCCTCCACCTTCCAGAGCAAATTGCTGGCAGCCTCGCATGCACAGCGCAGCTGCCTTTGAGCACTGGCCCGGGAGTTTGGCCAAATGGATGGGTAGAAGGATAGGCTTTTATGTGAAATGTTGGTCCTGCCCCTTGCCTTGTGACCCCTCATTTTCCTCATCTGTACAAATAAGGACAGAGCTGCTCCCCAGGATCATGATGGGGGTTGGAGACATCATTTATCGTAGATACATAGTAGGTGCTCATTAAAAGAATGGTTGTTACTACTTAATGATCCTCAACTTTTCTAGTCTTATTTCTCATAAACACTGTTGTAGGAACTAGCAAGTGAGACAAAGCAAAAGGCACTGGCCAGGCCAATAGGGCTTTCCTCGAGGTCTGCCCCTCCACGAGGCCCTCGGCCAAGGCCCTGCTATGGGTGCTTGCAGTTTCTGGTGGTCAGCCAGGCTCCAGGCAGCCTCCCTAAGTCTCCCTGCTGCTCAGACACCCCTCCGACAGGCTCACCTGTAGTCCATCATTCCTCCATCACAGACTCATCCCAGTGGAGGACTGTCCTTGACTCTGTTGAACCTTGCTTTGCCCTTGCAAGCGCAATCCCCGGCTCACATGAATCACTTGACATTCCCCATGCAGCTCTGAGCGAATGTTTCAATGTGAGTGACAGAAGCAAACTGATGACTCCTAGAGGTTCAAGGGTCAGCGTATCATGCTTGGCCAAGGAGTTTGGGGGAGGGTGAGTTCTTAAAAAGTTGTTATGAGCTCTAGAATGTTCTAGAAATAGTCTACTTCCAGTTGGGTCACTGGAAGACACTCAGTTAGCCCAGTCAACTACAAACAAACAACAAAAGAGCCTGTGGTCACATTCTGTTGCTGTCCTACCTTCACCCCAATCTAGACTTAACTTCCCAAGGACCTTCATCCCACCCCCAGGGGAGAAAGCAGTTTTCCTCCTGCTCTTTCCTCTCCACCCCACTCCTGGTGTGTTCCCTGGGATCCAGAGTGGTTTTCCAGCTCTTGACAAGTCAAGATATCTTAGCGCCCGTCTCCTCTCCCCAGACTGAGCTCCTCAAGGACAGGTACTTTGTGAATGAATGCACTCAGTAGATAAATATGCCTTGAATGAATGAATGAATGAATGAAGCAAAGGCAATGCCAGTTGTCAGGCAGTGCCCTCTTGGAGAAGCCTATGGTTTTGCCTTTTGACTTTAGGAATCTCTCGGGCTTCCTCTTTTCCTTTACTGGGACCCTCTACCCCTTGTTCAGTATCTCTGTTTCTAGCCCATAGCAAGGAGTGTTTTCCCTTCTGTCAGGTCTCCCCAGCTTTGGTTTTGATTTGCCCCTGATTGTTGTTGTCTTATGGTCCTTAACTCCACATCCGGGAGCCAAAAAGTCAGCGCCTCCCACCCTTCTCCTGGGCTTTGGTTGTCTTGCTAACTTGGGCCCCAGCTCACTTGGGAGCGATGTGGTCCAGCAGCCCTGTAAATGGGGAGAAAGAACTCAGGAAGTAACAACATCACCTCTTTTTTCTCACCTCTTCAACGCCCCCAAAGCATTACCCACTCCTAGCCCATGAAGAGCACTGTGCAACTCCAGCTGAGAGACTCCTGGGGCAGAGAGCAGATAACACCCCTCTGTGCTAACCTCCGTGGGGGTCGTGTGCGGCAATGGGATTATGCCCAGGTGGCTAGAAATGATGCCTAATTTGAAAACTGCTGGATATCAGAGAGCTCAGTCTTTTCAGGGAACCAGGACATGGGAAAGTGCTTTGAATTGTGTTAGGGAAATGCATCAATAAGCCAGCCTGTTGATCTCTTGTGATGTGTGCAATGCTGATCTAGATTCTGAGCGGGTTACCAAAGGAAAGCAGTCATTGCTTCTTAGAAACGCAAAGTCTCAGGGTGCAGCTTCCTCAGATTGACTGCAGCGACCCTTTTCAACCACCTTCAATCCCTGCCCCATCACCCCATCCAACACATACAAGAATCGACCAGTGAATGCATGAGTAAGCCGAACAACAAATTGATGTTTCTCTCTCCCCCTTTCTCTCTCTAAAAAAATCAATAAGTAAAGAAATCAGCCCAGATACTCTCCTTGTCCCTCAGAAGTAACCTCAACCTCTCCAGCCCCCACCCCACTCCCCAGAGCCTACGATAAACATAGACTGAATTTTCTAAGAAAGTCCTGATAACAAACAACCCCTCCTGTGATCCCCATAACTAGCTTCATTCTTCTCAGACTTCGAGTCACACTGGGCATTTGCATCTGCCCAGAGGGACAGGAATCTTACCCTTTGGTACACCAGCAAAGCCTATGGACCCTACTTAGAATAATGTTTATAAGTGCATAAAACAAAACACATAGGATTACAAAAGAAACACATTTTATTAAAGTACAGCCATCAAAATATGCACATGACAGTAGGTAGTGTATACTAACTGTGCTTCTTTATTAATGTGTTAATTAACAAGATCCAGCTGCGGGCCTACAAACTACTGACATTTCTAAGTTGTGAGGAGCATAGTGATATTTTGAGGTGTTTGAAACAATTATAATTTGATACCAAATATCTGTTATTTCTATCAGTGACAAGGTCACAGGTGCTGCTAATACTACTGTGGTTCGTGCTTGTTTCCTAGCCTCATAATCGAACAAAATGCTTTAAATAGAGGTTAGTGA